TACAACATCTGAAGCATTGCAAAAATTAATTGATCATGTACGGCATTGCCATGAATTTTCATTTGATACTGAAGGTGATCGATCTAGCAAGCAATTAGCATTAATTCAAATTCAAACGATACCTCGACAATTACCATGTTTCGTCATATTATTCGAATTATTACATTTACCACTACATGATACATTAATTTTCGTCAAAATTCGACAATTATTTCACTTGATCTTTCAATCGAACAACAAATTATATTCGTGGGGACCACTACGAGTCGAATTATCTCCGGCTGTGAATTATGAATTGTTCGAGTGGCCTATTAAATCGCAAATATTTGATATTCAACGTGACTTTAGTAAATGGTATACATGGGCACTATCTCATTGTGAGGTGTGTAGCCCGTCATTAATTCAACATAATGTTATACATGAAGTTCGTTTAAATACGAATATTAACTCGTGTTCAAAATGCACGTGTCATGAAGCAAGTCCTTATGGTCCTGGAGAAAAATGGGGACTACAGGATGCTCTAATTTACACCTGTCAATTGTTTATTGATAAATCAATGACAGTCAGTTCTTGGGCAAAAAGTTTAGATCCACTTCATTCAACATTATCAACAACAGTACGAGCAAAAATGCTCCATTATGCAATTTATGATTGTTTTACCACCACATATTTAGCCCGTCCAGTTTTAGCATTTTGGACATTTCAACAGGTAAAAAAATACTCATATACTTGATCTATTTCAGGCATCAACATCACCATCATCTACATCATCATTATCCTCATCACATCACGACAATAATGATATTATTAATACCAACATTAATCCCCAATTTTTTAAAAATGTTATCGATAATGATTTAGAATTTATTTCTGAAGATAGTGATGATGATATAGCCATTAATCAATGCCGTACAATGCCTGTTAATAATGCATTATATGAACAAATATCCGATGATGAAATTGATTTCAATCATCTGGTCAAACCAAATGAATTCGGTTGTGCACCAGTTAACAATGATGCATTAAATAATAATGAATTCGTTGTCAACAACCATTATATGGTTGATGATGTCAATGAAAAAGAAGAAAAAACAACAACAAAAACAAAAACACCAAGAAAGCATCAACACCGATCTTTACAAGCACGTCATAGACGAAATCATCAACGCAACACGATACTGAAAAAGTACCGTTATCATTATTCAATAAAACGAAAATGGTATCCTCGTTTTACAATGTTCATGGTTCGACAAATTCTTCGTTTATATCGTGTTAATTATAAACATGTTCGAAATGATGGGGACGAACTATTAATTGGCTTAAAAGATCGACTAAGTCGTGATAGAGCTCATCATCAATTACCATGGAGCATATTTAATCGACACAGTTATTTTTATTATCGCGACGTGTTTCGCCGTTAATGTTCCTGCTGTTCGTATTAAAAATTTATATTTTTTTTCTTTTTCTCAACACCATCATCATCATCCACATCATTGATATCAACATGGTCATTATGAACATCATCGTGAACCATTAGAACCATTTTCTTCTCGTTATTTTTTTCTTTCTCATTTTTTTTCTGATATTTTTTCTCTTCTCAGTGATATCTGAACATTTTTTCTACCTGGTGCATTTACTTCTCGTGACTTTCTTTTTCTATGAAGTTCTTTCGTTTATTTCGTTTTCTTCTCGTTATGTTTGTTTTGTTATGCTTTCCTCATGTATCATATACAAAAAAGTTTTAGTAAACAAAAACTTTTTATTGCTTGGGGAAGGATGTTATGTCTGACATCTTTATCCAATGTGATGGAGGTCAACACTATGTTGTTTGTCTGTTTCCCTCTCGTTCTTCTCTTGTTGTTTATTGTTAACAGTCAGTTATGTCTTCTACGTGAATAAAGATAGCCCTGTGAACTCAGGACATAACAAGTGGTGACAGCGGTGTTCAAAAAAGAAACTTTTTTTAAATTAGTGCATTTAATTCAATGGTAACATCCTTTTAACAGGATTGTCTCTGTTATTCATTACATAGTGAATTGAAGTTTATATCAAGGATATTGGTACATTGGATGTACACTTCCACCCGTTCACAATTAAAGTTACACACACATCAGATTTCGGATTTATTATATTATTCTCCACCTCGAACACATAATAGTTTTCATCATTCAAGTAATCAAACAGGAAATTCTTCACCTATTCAACTTATTTCACCAACCATTATGTCGACATCTCAACCGATATTAGAATTATCTGAAGAACACAAGAATGAGGATTATATACCTCCAGTAGAACATAAGTCTAATTTTCAGTCATTCCGAATGCAAGAAAAAATCGCTTTACAATCAATTCATAAATTAACGACTGAAGAAATGCTTCAAATTGATCAATGGTTATCTGTTTTATATAAGACATTTGAAGATTTGGAATATCCACCGTTATATCGTGTCCTTCAAGCAACTACATATTTTAATGATGAATTACAAATATGGTATGAAACGACCAAACATGAAATTAATAATGATTGGTCCAGTTTTTGTGATCGATTGAAACAATATGCTCTTGCTCGTCAGATGAATCCATCAACAGTGAATCATTCGTTATCAAACAACAATGATATACCTTCATTCGAATATCTTATTGATACGAAATTTATAAAATATTCTGGTATAGGTGATGCAAAGAATTGGCTGTTACAAACAATGCATCAATTTAAACAATGTGGATTACGTAGACTTGAACAACTTCAAGCCATTCCATTTTTATTAATTGATACAGCGTATTTGTGGTATGTAGAAAATATTGATTTAATTGTTAGCTTTGAATTATTTAGTAAACTATTCCTTCAAAAATTTACGTGCACACTATTAAAATCTCAAGATATTTCTCGTGGTGACACGGATAAAACGCTATCTGTCGTTACTGGCTCTTCATTTACATCGCATTTACAACAAACAATAGATGATGAAATTATTAAAAAACCAACCTATTTTCGTGGTTCAAAAGATGATGTTCATGACTGGCTAGATAAATTAGAACAACGTTTTGTCATGGTAAAATGGTCGGATGAACAAAAATTACAATATATTTCAATACATTTACAAGATGATGCACAGCGTTGGTGGACACAAGCGTCAAATGTGATTAAAACATGGTCATCGTTTACTGAAGCAGTTACACATGCTTTTGGTTCAACAAAAGCACAACAATTAGCTTTTGAACAATTGAAATGGTATAAACAAACGATTAATCAATCTATTACTCAATATTATGATACCATTATGGAGTTATGTAAAAAAGTCGATGCTGCTATGCCTGATTCATTAAAATTAAAATATTTAATGACTGGTATTAAAGATTCCTTAAAGTTGCATGTTGCTTTACAAGATCCAAAAACAACGGATGTCTTTCTATTGATTGCTCGAAAAGTAGAAGATACATTATCACTTACAACTTCAACTAATGAAATGCATCAAGATCATCTTACAATCAATGCTGTTGCACAGTCGAAACCATTAACACGACCATTTATTCAACAACAATCATTTAGAAATTTTCCACAACACACGTTCCAACAAACATCACGTCAACCATATCGTCCAAATTATTCGCATACGCCACGAATGGACAATCAACAAATCCGACATTATGCTCCTTCAAGATATTCATCTTACAAACAACAATCATTTCGTTGTTATAAATGTGGTACTCCCGGTCATTATGCACGGGATTGTACTCGTCCCCATTTCGAGTAATGGAAACAACGGTCGATGGTGTTGTTTCCAATAGTTTATATGATCATCCATCGACATCAAATACATCCCTATTATATCTTAATGTTATCGTAAATAATAAACTAATGAAGACGATGATTGATACAGGAGCCAATCGAACTTTTATTTCTATTAAAGCATTACATCTAGCATATAAAAAACAGCCTATTAATAAATTATCTAGTCGTGTACTTTTAGCTGATGGTTATACATCTATTTCTATTCTTGGCACAGTCCATTTATCTATTAACATGGGTGATATGTTAACTACTATTAAAGCATTTATTGTTAAAGAATTATGTGTTGATTGTATATTTAATTTACCAACATCATCTTATGAAGTTGTATATGTAAATAAATTTACAACATCTGAAGCATTGCAAAAATTAATTGATCATGTACGGCATTGCCATGAATTTTCATTTGATACTGAAGGTGATCGATCTAGCAAGCAATTAGCATTAATTCAAATTCAAACGATA